CTGTTTCATGTTTCTTTGATTTTTTGGCTTTTTTTTTCACAATGATAAGTAAGTCACTAGTGTCTACAAGAAAAGCGAAAACACCCAAACAAAAAAAAAATGGGTTTTGGAAAATTTGTTCAGTCTAAAAGATGGGCACTTGAACAGCCTCTGGAATAATTTTTGAGTACTGAGGTTCCACGTACTTGAAATTGAGCTAAAGTAGCAAAATTAAATTTCTGCTGATTTTCTGAGGACAGGTAAGGCCCCTCCGAACTCTCTCCCCAGTCTGTTAAAAGGGGCTCTTAATGGGTCTGATTCTATACTGGGACAACAAAAAACCATGCCCCTTTCCTTTTTATATTTTATTACCCAAAAGGAAAATTTTAAATTTTTGTGTATTAATAATTCAAAATGGGGGTAGTGTAATTTAGGAGAGGTCGGGGCCATGAGTTGAACAGGGGAATGTTTATGCCAAAATGTCAAATTTGTCTATTTTGAACTTTTAAATTTATTTTTTTAAATTTTGTGTAAAGTTGGCCAAATTACAAATTTTTCGGGAAATTTTTATGGGGTGTCAAAATAGCGAATGGGCAGATTTTGTCCAATTGATAAACAAAAGGGCATACAGTAAAAATAACTAAAAATTTTGGTAAAATGGGCAACGGAATTACACAAAATAGGACTACAGTTGGCAAAATCGTTGATCCCAACCCACAAATTTACACTTGTGTGATTCCAGATTTTCTATAAAATTTCGTACTTTTGGTGTCTTTACCTTTGGGAAAAAAATTTCTCTCCCCTTCAAAGAAAAACTTTTTTTTAAAAAGTGAAAACGAGAGCAATTTAATTTCAGGTAACAGCCAGATTGTGACTATTTCAAAAAAAATAATTTAAAAAAAAAACACTAAGAAATTTTCCTATTCCCATACATCTTATTAAAAACCTGAATGTAAAATGGGTCAGTAATTTTTTTAATTTCCCCCATTAAAAAAAAAAATTAAAATAAATTTCTAATGACCTTTTCGTGACTCGAGTGTGTCTTTTCCTCTCTTCAATTCCTCCCGCATCATGCAGAGCTTAACAGGTAGACTTAGTTTCACACAGCAAAACCTTTTCTTTAAAAAGTTTTACTGAACTTTTAAATCTTCTTCACACTGTCGAAAAAACTTTCATCCAAGAAACGTTATTACTAGTGGTTACTAGATCTTACAAGTCTTGTATTCAAAGGGACAAATAACTATATACAAAAAAAGAGAATTACACAAGCTTAAATAGCTTTAAAAACAAATTAAAAGAAGCCCTGCCTTTCACTGCATAAATTTATTGGAAACCCCTACACGTCTCCCACTCTGTCATTTTACCTTCCCCCAAAATTTAATTTTAATCCTTCACCATTAACCCTTTTTACTGTCCCGACATCCAAAATTTAATACGTCTTTGTGGCACTTAAAAAAATGGTAAGATCTCTTTCGAAAGTAATGACACCCAAAAATATGAAATGTGATGGAAAAATTTTGGGAAATTTTGCAAATGCAAAGTTTCAGTCTCAGTGCAACTTGCGTACAACGGTTTCACCCACCAAGTCCTATTTTAAGCCAAATTCCTTGCTGCATTCAATCAAATTCTTGGGGTATTTCACTTTTTACCTCTGTTTACCGACGGCACAAAAATGCCTGTTTTAAATTTTCAACACCCTTTAAAGAGTACGAAGTCACAAATTTTGGGCCAAATTTTACACAAGTCCAAAAAAACAAATGTAGCATTTCAGCACTAAAAAAAAAAAAATTTTTGTCATTAATCACAGCCCCCGGCCCCCCCTTTCCCATTTGCAGCTGACTTCATTTTGGGGGGTACTTAATTACACAAAAATAGAATTTTACTCTTTCCAATAATAAAATATAACCAGCTTTGATAACATTTCAGTGCCCCCAAAAATTGAATAAACTTATTAAAAACTAAGGGTATAAGTGGGCCTTTTCCCTCCCAGAAATTGGCAAAAATTGGGTCTTTTGCTAGTTTTAACTCAATTTATGGGACTTCCATCCTCAAACCAAATCAAAAAAAAACTATTTCAAAATAAATCTTCCCTTCTGTTTAAAAAAACCACGAAAAAGCCAATAAAACCCTAAAAGGCATCCCAAAAAACACCCTTTAAAACACTATTTTAAACCAATACACAGTCAGTTTTGTTTTTTCTCACGCACTGTATAGAATACAATTTTTTTTTTATGCTGCAAAATTCATGCACCAAACCCCTTCTCACTCCTTGGCCCAAAATTTTTCCCCCTCACAGCTTATTAAACAAGCCAAGCTCAAGTGTAAAGCTACAAAGGACTATGGGCCCCAATGACATACATGCTTCTATAATGGGCCCAAATTAATAAAAAATTTTTCGTGTATTTTTTTTTGTTACTGACCAGAAATTGAAATTGTTGTGGGTCAAGTCCCTACGATCATAGGAGTAAAAAAGTACCATGTGCGCTCCAATACCTTGTAAACACCCTTGAAATACTCAGCATTTCGTTTCTATTTAATTGTGAAAGATAAACAAATTAATAATTATGATAAAATTATGTGTAAATGAATTAATGTATACATGTTTGTATGTAGCAGTGAAGAGCTTTTATGTGAATAGCAAGGATCAGGCTAGAGTATGTAGGAGAGGGGGGAGATTATTTCACAGTAAAAGTAGGTCTTAGACAGGGATGCATGATGTCACCATGGTTGTTCAATATACAGTGGACCCCCGCATAACGATTTTAATCCGTGCAAGAGGGGTAATTGTTATGCGAAATAATCGGTATGTGAATGAATTTTCCCCATAAGAAATAATGGAAATAAAATTAATCCGTGCAAGACACCGAAAAGTATGAAAAAAAAAATTTTTACCACATGAAATATACATTTTCCCACACACAAAGAGAAGGATACATGCACAATAGTAGAGTAGTACATGCACAGTATATATTGTGCATGTACTAGTCTACTAAATGAAGAATAAATGACACTTACCTTTATTGAAGATGCAGCAATGACTGATGAGACACTGTGTCCTGGGAGTGCCTTTTCCTCCTGATTACTGTAGGTCCTGTTTGGCATTTTCTTCCAAAAACGGGCCCCTTATCACACTGTGTATGCCACTAATTCTTAAATCTCTCAAACCAACCTTTGCTGGCTTTAAATTCACCAATATGAGCACTGTTCCAGGCTTTTTTTCCTGTTCACCTGGGTGTTAGTCGACTTTGTGTGGGTTTGCATCCTGGGAGACAAGTTTAAAAGGACCCCAATGGAAATAATTAGACAGTCTTCGATGACACTGATTTTTTTGGGTTATCCTGGGTGGCAAATCCTCTGGGGGTTAATTGTTTCTTGGTATTCTCAATAAGCCACACCAACAACGGTGCTACAGCAGCAGCAGCAGCTGACGGTGGTACAAGCAGCAACAGACGATGCTACAGCAGCAGCAGACGATGCTACAGCAGCAACAGACGTTGTTACAGCAGCAGCAGATGATGCTAACCAGCAGCAGCAGCAGTGACGGTGGTACAGCAGCAAACAGACGATGCTACAGCAGCAACAGACGATGTTACAGCAGCAACAGACATGTTACAGCAGCAGCAGACGATGCTACAGCAGCAGCAGCAGCTGACGGTGGTACAGCAGCAACAGACAGGGCTACAGCAGCAAACAGACGTTTGTTACAGCAGCAGAAAGACGATGCTACAGCAGAAAGCAGCAGCTGAGGGTGGTACAGCAGCAACAGACGATGCTACAGCAGCAACAGACGATGTTACAGCAGCAGCAGACGATGCTACAGCAGCAGCAGCAGCTGACGGTGGTACAGCAGCAACAGACGATGCTACAGCAGCAACAGACGATTTTTACAGCAGCAGCAGACGATGCACAGCAGCAGCAGCAGCTGAACGGTGGTACAGCACAACAGACGATGCTACAGCAGCAACAGACGATGTTACAGCAGCAGCAAGACGATGCTACAGCAGCAGCAGCAGCTGACGGTGGTACAGCAGCAACAGACGATCCCTACAGCAGCAACAGACGATGTTACAGCAGCAGCAGACGATGCTACAGCAGCAGCAGCAGCTGACGGTGGTACAGCAGCAACAGACGATGCTACAGCAGCAACAGACGATGTTACAGCAGCAGCAGACGATGCTACAGCAGCAGCAGCAGCTAAACGGTGGAAACAGCAGCAACAGACGCGCTACAGCAGCAACAGACGATGTTACAGCAGCAGCAGACGATGCTACAGCACAGCAGCAGCTGACAGTGCAGCAGCAGCAGCAGCTGTACCACCAATAGTAGTGATGGTTGATTGGGTTTATTATACAACCTGGCCAGCTCGGAGACACGCACTCCACTTTCATACTTATCAATGATCTTTTTCTTCATCTCTATTGTAATTCTCACCCTTATTGCTGTAGGGTTGGCATAGAAGCTTTCTTGGGGCCCATGGTCACTTATTTCCAAAAAAGCACCGAAAACACTGTAATAATACGAAATATTCCGATTGTATGCTTGGATGTTACCGCGGAGGCTGGCTGGTAAACAATGCCACCGGCGGAACATGTGAGCGTGGCTCAGGCCGCACATTGGACGCGTCTCGGACGAAAATCGGTGAGCGGGTTTTTAATCGGTATGCGCGGCAAAATTTTTGCGATTAAAGCAAGCGGTATGCGGATTAATCGCTATGTGATGCCATCGTTATGCGGGGGTCCACTGTATTTATAGATGGGGTTGAAAGAAAATTGAATGCTTGGGTGTTGGCAAGAGGTGTGGGATTAAAAGATAGAGAATCTGACACAAAGTGGGAGTTGTCACAGTTGCTTTTTGCTGACAACAATGTGCTTTTGGGAGATTCTGTAGAGAAGTTTCAGAGGTTGGTTGACGAGTTTGATAGGGTATGTAAAAGGAGGAAATTAAAAGTGAACACATAAAACAGTAAGGTGATGAGGATAAAAAATTTAGGTAATGAAACATTGGATATCAGACTAGAGGGAGTATGGAGGAAGTGAATGTACTCAGATATTTGGGAATGGACTTGTAAGCAGATGGATCTATGAAAGACAAGGTGAATCACAGAATTGAGGAAGGGAAAAAGGAGTGGTGCACTGAGGAGTCTGTGGAGACAAAGAACGTTATCCATGGAAGCAAAGAGGGGAATGTATGAGAGCATAGTTATACCAATGCTCTTGTATGGGTGTGAAGCATGGGTGGTTAATGTTGTAACAAGGCGGCTGGAGGTAGTGGAGATGTGTCCGAGGGCAATGTGTGGTGTGAATATAATGAAGAGAATCCGTATTTTAGAAATTAGGAGGTGCAGGTTTACTAAAAGCATTATCCAGAGGGCTGAGGAGGGATTGTTAAGGTGGTTTGGAGATTTAGAGAGGATGGAATGACATAGATGACTTGAAGAGCATATAAATCTGTAATGGAAGGCAGGGTAGGGGTCAGCCTAGGAAAGGTTGGAGGGAAAGGGGTGATGGTGGTTTTGTGTGTGAGGGGCTTGGACTTCAAGCAAGCAAGCATGTGTGAGCATGTTAGATAGAAGCAAGTGGAAACAAATGGTTTTTATGACCTGATTTACTGTTGGAGTGTGAGCAAAGTAACATTTATGAAGGGATTCAGGGAAACCAGCAAGCTGGTCCTGGAGGTGGGAAGTACAGTGCTTGTGCTCTGAAGGAGGGGTGTTGAGTTGTTGCAGTTTTGTAACTGTAGTGTAGGCACACCTCTAGCTAGTGATGGAGTGAATGATGATGAAAGTATATCTTCTTTATCGGGGTCACCTTGCCTTTGGTGGGAAACGGCTGCTGTGTTAAAAAATGTTTGTAGAGTAGACCCCCAGTTTTCGTAATTAATCCATTCCAGAAGGCTGGCCTAAAAACGAAATGGCCGAAAACCAAAGTAATATTTCCCATAAGAAATAAGGTAAATCCAATTAATCCATTTCAGACACCCAAAAATATTAAAAAATATATTTTATAGAGAATAACTATAGTTTTACATACAGAAAACAATGAGAAATAAATATAAATGACTAATTTTAATGATAAATGAACATTACATACCTTTATTGAAGACTCTAGTTGGCAAGTAGTATTTATTCATAGTCCCAGAGGGACTACATCCCAGGCATATAGCTACATACACTGCGGCCTACAGCCATATTAACATCGACATACCGTGTTTACCGAGTTTAATCATTTCTAACAACTACCTTTAGATGCCATCATAAACAAAGATAGAAGTAATGAATAACTCAGGCCGAGAATTGTAAACAAAAGCCTCATGTACTATTAAGGGCGGTTGGTTGCTGGGTCAACACAGAGTCATACACATTTTCTCTGAAGCTGGACCAGAAAAAAGGTAATGTATACTCTCTAGTCAGCCCCACCCCTCGAAAGCATATGAACACTGCATGCTGATATGCTATGTAATGCATTTTTTATAGTATAATTGAAGAAAATATCATTGATGGATTAATGAAAATGTCTATATCAACCTTAAATAAGACATTTAATGTGCCCAAAATTGATTATTATTAAACATACATCGTGTACTGTGTTTCTTACATAATTTTGAAAAAAATATCATTGATGGATTAACCCGTAAATGGTCCAAACGTATGTATATGTTACCGCTAGTGCCCCAAATGTACATAAACGTTTCATTTTTCCTGCCTTCAATATTTTTCAAAAAATATTCGGGGCACTGGGGTAGTGAACGTATATGTTTGGACCATTTACGGGTTAATGAAAATGTTTATATTAATGTAAAATAAGACATTTAATGTGCCCAAGAGTGATTATTGCATACTATTAGTATTACCATGGCGTTAAGACTAGCAGGACACACAATGAACGAGTAACAAAGGCATGTTATCCGCTATGTAATGTGTTTCTTACATAATTTTGAAGAAAATATCATAGATGGATTAATGAAAATGTCTATATTAACATAAAATAAGACATTTAATGTGCCCAAGAGTAAGTTATGAACGTATGAGCAGCCCAGATGGACGTGTCTGGTACCGTCAATTTCTTAGTCGATGTATGAAATCTGGGGAGGAAATTCCGCCGAAAAAAGTGCTCGAAATCCGAATTGTACGATTTCCACACCAGCCAAAAACCAGGGATCCATTGTATGTATAAATTAATGAATGCATGTATGTGCAAATGTATGAATGAATATGTAAGAATGTATTTTATTTACTTATTTATTTTGTCTTTGCAAATAGTACACTGAGATTTTGTATTTACAATAGTGGGTTGCAATGCAAAGAGAGCCTCTATTATGCCTAGGCATTATGGGCCGACTTAACATTATTGGCTTACAGACTACTTAACACTAAGGATTGTATCATAGTTGTACAGTAGGATAGTAATTATTTCATAGTTGTACAGTAGATTATTAATTATAAGTGAATCTAATTTGCATAGGAAAAGACATTCATATATTCAAAAATGCTTTTTGTGAAAACAATGATTCAATTATATGTATGATTATGTATGAATGTATAAATGAATATGTATGAATGTATAAATGAATATGTATGAATGTATAAATGAATATGTATGAATGTATAAATGAATATGTATGAATGTATAAATGAATATATATGAATGTATAAATGAATATGTACAAATGAATGTATAAATGAATATATAAGACTCAATGTATAAATTAATACGTATTTGTGTGTAAATAAATTAATGTATGTGTGAATGTGTAAATGAATGAATGTTTGCATATGTAAATGAATGAATATATGTACATGCAAATATGTGTAAGTTTTAACACACTGGCTGTTTCCCACTGATGCAGGATGACCCAAAAAGAAAAAAAAAACAAAAGGAAAAAAAATCATTATTCAACATTTTCATTATTATTCAACACTTTCACCATTATTCAACATTTTCACCATCACTCATACATAAACAGTCTTCACAGAGGCATTCAGATATGACAATTTAGATGTTCCTCCCAACTGCCAATATCCCAAACCCATCCTTTGAAGTGCAGGCATTGTACTTCACATTTCCAGGACTCAAGTCTGGATAACTGGTTTCCCTGAATCCCTTCACAAAATATTACCCTGCTCACACTCCAGCAGCTTGTCAGGTCCCAAAAACCATTCGCCTCCACTCCTACCTAATACACTCACACATGCTTGCTTGAAGTCCAAGCCCCTCGAGCACAAAACCTCCTTTACCCCCTCCCTCCAACCTTTTCGAGTATGACCCCTATATATGTCTATACACACACACACACACAGTATATGTTAACACAACAACCCCTGAATCTGGATAGTTCTCTGATTTTAGAACACTTTTATATTTGAAGTCCTACTCAACATTTCTTGTACCTGTCAATACAAATTATGCCTAGCATTAATTGTTTCATGATTTTTTATTTCAACAAAGTTTCATTATAAATAAAGCCAAATTAAAATCTTAATACTATAATTATTAAAATATGAATAATATTATACTTACAGTAGAATTACTTTCAACATTGTTACAGAAAATAACTATAAGAAGATTCCAAATTTTTTGTAAGAAGCGCTGAAAGTTTGTGTTGTCTAATCTCTGTAGGAGAGCACAAAGTCCTTCATCAAGAACTTCTTGCAGAAGCTGAGCCTCATTACCAGTTTCACAGGAATGAACTACAGCTTTAAATAAAACTGGCTTGATCTGAAAAAGTAGAAAGGATTGTAAATATAAAAAAGATAATTTTAAAAACAATAACTAAAGCAGTTACTTCAACAATACTAACTGCTCTGTCTCTCTTAAGTGTATAATGCTAAGGCACTGTCATTTGTGTGGAAATGAAGTGTTAACATGGCTTGTGCTCTCTCTGTCTCCTGCCATACAACACACTCCCCCCACTCTTCAAACACCTAAACCTACTTAATACACAAAAAATTCTCTTGTACTACTGTGAATACTACATGCAGGACAAACTCCAATATCAAACTTGCCCAGAAATTCTTGATAGTTGTAAAAGAACTCAGGCATAATACTATACACAATCTATATAGTCCCCTCATCCAACTTAATCTTAGCAAAAACTCAATGCACATAAAAGAACCTAAAATCTAGAATTCTACCTGAAAACTCCAATCTCTCGCTTTCTGCCAGCAGTTTCAAAGCTGCTGTTAAAAAACACCTCCTTTCCTTAATGTGATCCCAGCAATTAATTATGCTGAACAATTCTTACAACCAGTATTGTCCCTGTTACTTGTCTACCATTCATACCTGTACCTAGCCTCAAATACTTTAACCCGTAAACGATCCAAACGTATATATACGTTCATTTCCCCAGTGCCCCGAATATTTGAAAAATAAATTTTTTTTTCCTGAAAAAAAAGAGCACATTTTTCTAAGTGTTATAGGATAAAAAAAAAAAAAATTTGGGTCGGTACTTGCCGAGATATGAGGCCGCAAAGCTGGCACTTGGCGATCACCTGGTGACAACATGGAGCGCTGCCACTTGCAGAAGTGTTGCCAATATATCTTCTTTTCCATTTTTCATATTATTTTATATAAGTTTTATGTTATGATAATTACAATTTATAGTAGTTCTTGTCATTTCATACCCAATCTTTGTTCTGACACTAGTATTAGGTACTGAAATTGTACTCACATTGTCACAAATTGGCACACCTGAAGGGGTGCCCCAGTGTCCAAGAAATTTTGAAAAAAACAAAAATGATTTTTTCTTTCAGAATTAAAGATAATAATTTTTGTGAAGGTAATAAAACAAAAACAAAAATTTCTGACCAGTACTTACCGAGATACAGTGGTGGGAATTTCACCCAAAATGACCGGGTGGCAGCAACATCAGTGACTTCCACAAAATCGCATTTTTTTATTTTACGTTTTTTATACTTTTTTCTTTTCCTTTCTACTTTTTTCTTTTTCCAGTAACATTTGTGGCTTGTGAGACCAATATAATGTATATTGTATAAGTGTACACTCATTGTATTCAACACAATAACTGCACTAATTTATCATTATACTGCTTACAAAACTTGTTTACAAGTTTATTGTAAACAAAATGATGAAAATATTAGTGCAGTTATTGTGTTGAATACAGCATACTCCACCAATTTTCAAAAGTCTGAATCTCCTCACCATTAAGAACATCCATACTTATTCATGTGCCTACTACATACACAGAACAATACACGCAAATATAAACCCCCCACTCAAACTTTTCCTCACCAACCTAAACAGGACACATGACCACAACACAAGACACAGATCTCTTTTTGATATACCTCGTGTCCATATCACAGTGTGTAAAAACTATGCACATAAAGGGCCCAAAAATATGGAATTCATTACCAGAAGATATTAAAGTAACCCAGTCTGAAAATCAATTTAAGACTCTTCTCAAAAGCCACTTAATCACCCTAGACTAAATGCTAAATACTCAGTATACATTTACTCACCTATGTACTCCCACATCATAACTGAAACAATCACATTGAACCTTTTATCCATTGTTGACAGGAATATAATTGAATCATTATTTTTCACAAAAGCATTTTAGAATATAAATATGTATATCTTTGTATTATACAAATTTTGATTCATTTATAATTAATATTCTACTGTACAACTATGAAATAATTACTTTCCTTCTGTACAACTATGATATACTACTTCATAGTATTAAGTAGAATGTAAGCCAATAATGTTAAGTTGGCCCATAATGCCAAGGCATAATAGAGGCTCTCTCTGCATTGCATCCCACTATTGTATATACACAATCTCAATGTACTGTGCAAAGACATTAAATAAATAAATAAATAAATGGTACAATGGTGCCATAGGGTGCAATGGTACCATATAGTATAATTGTACCATATGGTACAATGGCACATGATACAATGGTACCATATAGTGCAATGGTACCATATGGTGCAATGGTACCATATGGTGCAATGGTACCATATGGTACATTGTACCATGCAGTACAATACCATATGGTTCACTGTACCATATGGTACTATATGGTACTGTTGCATTCAACACAAACACTTATTTTCAACATTATTTTGTTTATAATAATCGTTTACAACAAAAATATGCAAAAAATGTTGTATATTAGTAATCTTCTATTATATATTTACAAATGTACAGCCACTTGACACATTCCTTGAGGTGCATGACAAAGCATTTTGTCTTGGAAACTGCTGAGACAGTAGCTAGCTTGCGTAGCTACTCAGTCTTGACTGGTGTCTCCTGCCACCAACACCTTCTATTGACTATATGGTACATGGTATATGTTACAGGGTACCATATGGTACATTGTACTATATGGTATAGGGTACCATGCAGTACAGGATAACATATGGTGCAGGGTACCATATTGTGTAGGGTACCATATGGCACAGGGTACCATACAGTACAGGACACCATATGGTACAGATACAAGGATCCCTATGGAAATAATTCACCCTGACTTTTTTGGGTTATCCTAGTATTTTATGCATATGCTGCTATGTATGATAATCCATGTAATTGTATTTCTGTACACCTGAATAAACTTACTCAAATCACATGTGGCATTTTAAGTTTATTTCGGTATACACAAATAAAGTTACATAGAATATCATACTTAGCAGCATGTTTGGAGAACTTAGGATAATCCAAAAAAGTCAGAGACATTACCATTAGGGTCCCTGTACAATGTACCATATGATACATTGTACCATATGGCATAATGTACCATATGGTACAATGTACCATATGACAATGTACCATATGGCACAATGTACCATATGGCAAATTGTACCATATACCATTGTATGACATGGCACCATTGTACCATATGGTATCATTGTACCATATACTTTTTTTTTTATTATAATCAAAAAAAGAAGCGCTAAGCCACAAGGGCTATACAGCGGCCATATTTATTTATTTATTTATTTATTTATTAACAATTTGAGCACACATACAGAGGTACAAAAAAATACACATAAGAGCAGCATGCCAAAGCCACTTATACTATGCATAGCATTACGGGCTGGCTTAAAATTAACTTAAAATTAACTAAGCAATGATGAAATCAGTGATAAAACATTAATGTAAACAGATTACTATAAAGCACAAGTGAGTACAGTGGACCCCCGCATAACGATTACCTCCGAATGCGACCAATTATGTAAGTGTATTTATGTAAGTGCGTTTGTACGTGTATGTTTGGGGGTCTGAAATGGACTAATCTACTTCACAATATTTCTTATGGGAACAAATTCGGTCAGTACTGGCACCTGAACATACTTCTGAAGTGAAAAAATATCGTTAACCGGGGGTCCACTGTATTACAAAGACAGGTCATATGGTTGCATGCATTGTTGTACATTCAGTCGTATGAAGTATTCTGTTAGGTAGTGTATTTAAAAAATAATAAAGTTAGATTCGGTTTTAGGTTTAACATTTATGTGATATAATTGTGAGAAACATTTAAGATATACAATTTATAAGGTTCAGTTATTCAGTATTTATTTGGTTTTGGGTGAGTAAGTGATCTTTGAGAAGAGACTTGAATTTATAAACAGGTAGTGTTTCTTTTATATTTACAGGTAATGAATTCCAGATTTTAGGGCCTTTTATGTGCATTGAGTTTTTGCATAGTGTGAGATGGACACGAGGTACATCAAAGAGTGATCGTGCCTTGTGTTATGGTCATGTGTTCTGTTGAGGTTGGCAAGGAGATGTTTGAGGGGAGGGTTAATATCAGAGTTAAGTGTTCTATGTATGTAATAGGTGCAGTAATAAGTATGGATGTTTTGTATGGTGAGTAGGTTTAGTGTATTGAATATTGGTGGAGTGTGCTGCCTGTAGTGAGAATTTGTTATCATTCTAACTGCAGCCTTTTGTTGGGTAATTAGTAGTCTGAGATGGTTAATTGTTGTTGAGCCCCATGCACAAATTCCATAGGTGAGATAGGGGTAAATAAGAGAGTGATATAGGGCTAGGAGGGCTGACTGTGGAACATAGTACCGTATCTTCGATAGTATGCCTACAGTCTTGGAAATTTTCTTAGAAATTTGTTGTATATGTGTATGAAATTTGAGTCTATTATCGAGGTGGATTCCTAAGAATTTTCCCTCTGTTAGCTTTGTGATAGGTGATCTGTTTATCATTATGTTAAGAGGGACATCTGTAGCTCTGTTACCAAACTGAATGAAGTAGGTTTTGTCAATGTTTAGCGTAAGTTTGTTAGTCCTCATCCAGGTAGATATTTTCTGTAATTCGGTATTTACAGTATTGGCTAGCGTGACTGGGCTCGGGTGAGAGAAGACGTATGTAGTGTCATCTGCAAATAGTGTGGGTTTGAGTAATTGCGAAGCATTTGGAAGGTCATTTATGTATAGGAGAAAGAGAAGAGGGCCAAGGACACTTCCCTGTGGGACACCAACTGTAATTGGTTGCGCAGAAGAGTTTGCCCCATTTGCGTACACATATTGGCTTCTGTTGCTGAGGTATGACTTGAGGTAGTTGAGGGAGTGCCCTCTTATACCATAGTGTGACAATTTTTACGTGGAGCAAGTCATGGTCAACTGTATCAAAAGCTTTACGTAAGTCAATGAAGATCCCCAGTGGGACTTCTTTTTTCTCTATTGCAGTGTATATATGTTCTAGCATGTGTATAATAGCATCATTAGTATTTTTAT